TCTTATAATTTAACTTATATTGATACTTCTTCCAAACTCGTAACAAGGCATTCCTTAGTATATGGCTTTTAAAGGTCTTATCCACCTTTTTGTCATATAATAAGTAAGCATGCCAGCCATATAACAAATCATATCCTTCAATATTCAATATTCTTTCTTCTGTTGAATTAATCCAGTCACTAATTATTGTTAGGACAGCTGCTTCATAGTATAATCTTAGATTAGGCATTTTAAGACCTCCTCTTTCACGTATATCTTGCATTATTTTTAACTTTATTCTCAGTCTTTTCCCTGCCCAAACAAAATTATTAATACCCTTCTGCCATTCCCTCAAATTATCATCTTTCTTAAGTATTGGTATCATTTGAAACAAAAATAAAAACCTAGGTAAAACATTCATTTTTATTGCTGCTATTCTCCCCAACAGAGATAATTGTAATTTTCCCCAATTCTCCATCTCTTTCTGTATTTTTTGCCATAGCAATTCATAATTATTTTTATATAATTTTCATTTGAGGCTGTAATATATACCCCTAAATATTTAACCTTTTTTACTATTTCAAATCCTGTTAGTCTTTCTAGTTCTTCTTTTTGCTTTACCGTCATATTTTCAGCTATTATCTTTGTTTTTTGTTTATTTATTTTAAATCCAGACATTTGACATATTGGGTAATTATATCCAGTAAGCCTGTAACTGATTGTACTGGTTGGGTTAAAGTAACAACCAAGTCATCCGCAAATGCTCTTAATCTATAATCATGATGTCTAATTTTAATTCCCTTTATTTTATTTGACCCTCGTATTTTATTCAGTAGTGGTTCCAAAGTTAAAATAAACAATAATGGTGATAAAGGGCATCCCTGTCTTGTTCCTTTTTCAATTTTAAAAGTTTCTGTTAAACCACCATTAATTACTATCTGTGCTGTTTGTCTCTGATATATTGCCCTAATAGATTGTGTAAAGTATTCTCCAAACTGCATCTTTTCTATTATTTTCAATAAAAATTGCCAATTCAATCGATCAAATGCCTTCTCCGCATCCAAAAAGATAAGCGCTGCAGGGACTTGGTTGTTCCTTTCCAGATATTCCAGTAAGTTTACAATTTGTCTTACATTACCTTTCATTTGTCTCCCACTTATAAATCCAGATTGGTCATTATGAATCATTTGTTGCATAATTACCATTAACCTATTTGCTAGATTTTAGCAAAAATTTTATAATCAGTATTTAAAAGCGATATTGGCCTATAATTCTTAGGTTGACTATGATCTTGGTCCTCCTTTGGAATCAATGAAATAAAAGCTGTTCTCCAAGAAGCGGGTACATCTCCTCCGGCTTGGATCTTCTGAAATAGTTCCTTAAGCGGTTCTACCATTTCTAACTGCAAATTTTTATAATAAACAGCTGTCAATCCATCTGTGCCTGGAGCTTTACCCCCCTTCAACTGTTTAATTGCTAAAATAATTTCCTCTGAAGTTATTGGTCAGTTCAATCCTTCCCTCTGCTCTGGTGTAATTACAGGAATATTCTCCTCCTGTAAATATCTGTCTATGTCTTTACCTTGAATTGTATCACTAGCATATAACTTTGTATAGAATTCTTAAAAAGCTTTTTTAATCATATTTTGTTGATATACCTCTTTACCTTTACCTTGCCCAAGACAGAATCTTGACGAATCCAACTGCATGCTTCCCTAGATACAGATGTCTGTAATTTCATTGAGAATCACATGCTGAGTGTGATTGGTCAGCCAACTGCAAATCCATCTGATGATAGTATTGTTTATCCTACATTCTTCTATCTTACTAAGAAATAGGCTGTGGTCTACTTTGTCAAATGCCTTACTGAAGTCCAAGTATACTATATCCATAGCATTTCCCTGATCCACTAACTTAGTTACTTTATCAAAGAAGTGATCTGTTTTTAACAAACCCTTTCTATGCCTGCTGAAAAATTGCATGAATGTTTTTTCACACATTATAATTTTGTGGTTAGAAAAATAAATAAGGTATTCAGTGATGGAAATAAAGTTCTATTACAAATAGATTGTGATGTGGTCTGGCATAAAATTCCACAAATCAGCAGGTTGACAGTAAAAGTACTTATAAATTGGAAGTTGGGGTGCAATATAGTACAGCCTCAATGAAGTTGAGCCTTGGTAGTACAGGGGTTTAAGGCACCCTGTTATTAAGCTGGTTATTAAGACCAGCTGCCTGCAATTACTGCAGGGTTCGAATCTCGCCAAGGCTCAAGGTTGACTCAGCCTTCCATCCTTTCTAAGGTAGGTGAAATGAGGACCCAGTTTGTGGGGGCAATAAGCTGACTTTGTATAAATATACAAAAGGATGAAGGGTATTGCTGAGCACATTGTAAGCCGCCCTGAGTCTTCAGAGAAGGGCGGCATATAAATCAAATTAAAAAAAAAAATGTAGACCAGCTTACTTGTGGTGCTACCCTGGGCAACATGACTTTATCACCGCTAAATAGTCTACACATTCTAGAAAATGGCAAAGGGTGTGCGCGTAATTGCTAACACTTTGGAAAGTACTCAAGATTCAGAAAGATCTTGACAGACTTAAGCATTGGGCCCTATCAGACAAGATGCAGTTCAAGAGCATGAAAAGTAAGGTCCTACACTTAGACAGGAAAAAACAAATGCACAGGTATATAATAAGAGATACCTGGCTCAACAATAGTAACTGTTGAGGGAACTAGGTGTCCTAGTGGAATACCACTTAAATATGAGTCAGCAGTGGCTGCAGCTACCAAAAAAGCCTAGGCTGCATCAACAAAGAGATAGCATCAAGATCACAAGAAGTTATAGTACCACTTTATACTGCACTGGTAAGACCGCAGTTGGAATACTGCATCCACCATGATTATCATCATACAAAAAAGATGTTGAGATTCTAGAAAAATGCAGAGAAGAGGAAGAATAAGAGGTCTGGAGGCTAAACCATAGGATGAATGTTTGCATGAACTAGGTATGCCTAGTCTAATGAAGAAAAGGACTAGGAGTAAAATGATAGCAGACTTCAGTCAAGCTGACTTGACAGGCTGTCACAGAGAAGAGGGAACTGACGTATTCTCCAAAGCATCTGAGTGCAGAACAAGAAGCACTGAGCTTCTCAGTGAAGAAAATGAAATTCTAACAGTAACAAAGGAAAATCAGAGCTACTCCATTTCTGGTCTGGTTCAATCTTCTCCAGTAAAAACAAATGTAAATATTGAGATCAGAAGGAAGAGACAGGACTGAAGACTAAAACTGATAATATTTGATCAGGAAATGCTTCTTTACTTTAATTCTCCGGGACCAAAAGAAACTATCTAATGGTCTGGCCAAATCACTGTATATTATTTGAGAACTTCCTGAGTCCTTCGGGAGAAGGGCGGTATAGAAATTCAATAAATAAATAAATAAACTGCTGGAAAACGAACACACATCATATAACCAGAGGATGAGTGAAGCAGGGCAAGGAAATATGATATCGAATATATAGCTTGCTTCAAACTCAAGTATGTGTGCTAGATATTACCGTATCTACCTTGTGGACAAATTATCCACCATTAAATGCAGAAACCAAATGTTGGGTCTTCTTAAAATGTACATGAAAAAATATCCAGAATTTTAGAAGAACTTAAATGTACAATTATATCATATAAAACATCCAAAAAGGATTTAAACTGAATCCAGGTAATTAAAGACTGGATAACCTAATATTTGCTATGGATAAGTGGTTAGAAAATATTGCTCAAAATGAAGTGAAATACATGGAAGAATAATGTTTGTTGAACAGGAATTAACATGGCTTTTGCAAATGTAACTCTTTACAGTTCTTGAAAGTATCATGAACGTGAATGTTAGGAATTTCAAAGAAAGCCAAAGAAAGTACTTTATAACACAAGTAGTGTTATAATCTACTACAAATAATAGATGGCCGCTTTATGTATTTATTCATTATACTTTTAATTGGTCCAATAATCAAAATTCCCTAGTGAATGACAAATTATCTTCATGATATCAAATAAATCCTGATAGTCACAACAGCTTTTCCCTTCATTATCCACTCTACTCATCTGATGGATGGCCACTGACTTTTGGACATTTTGATCTGATCCTGCAAGGCTCACATAAAGTTCATTAGAAACTCTGAAAGTTTGTTTGGATTTGTATAACATGCTAAGTCATTAACAATTTACAAATCATAACATTTGGGTTCACACAACACACTAAGCTAAAACCCACGAAAACCATATGATAGCCTAGTTTAGACTACTGGGATAAGCTAGTTCCTGAACCAGTAAATTTATACAGATAGTCCTCGACTTACAACCACAATTGAGCCCAAAATTACTGTTGTTAAGTGAGACATTTGCCAAGTGAGTTTTGGCCCATTTTACAACCTTTCTTGCCATATTTGTTAAGTGATAAGTTAGTAACACTGTTGTTAAGTGAATCTGGCTTCCCCATTGACTTCACTTGTCAAAACCTTGTGAAAGGTGATCACATGACCTTGGGACACAGCAAAGGTCATAAGTATGAACCAATTACCAAATATATAAATTTTGATCACATGATCATGGGGATACTGCAAACTTTGAAAAACAGTGTGCGGTTGTAACTTTGAAAAGCCACAAAACGAACTATTGTAAATCGAGGACCACCTTTATTGTACAACCAATTGGATAAAATGATACCCCCATACGGTATAGAAAAGAGAGCTTAATCCATCCCTCTGTACGAAGGTGGCCAGATTTTTCTAAGGTACCCCTAACCAGGTCCCCTCCAGATGTATTCAACTATCGCTCCCGCCATTCCAGGCGCAAAACTGCCTCGCTGTGCCGGCTGGGGAGATCGGCGTTCCGGTTCTACACATCTGGCGGGCACCCGCTGGGCGACGCCAGCCTCCGAGGCTCCATCAGCCTCCCCGAAGGAAGCGGAATGTGTTCCTGCTCTCGGGTGGGAGGAGGCTGGCTAGGCCTGGCCTAAGCGCTCCGCCTCCCTCCCTCGCCCCGTCAAGAGCAGACTAGCCCAACACGGGTCAGGGCGACGCATTCGTTCGCGGGCCGCCAGCCAAGACTGCCGAAGCTGACGCGCGCTCCGTCACCAGCACGTTGCCTTGTGCCCTGGGCAGGAGCCTTTCCTCTTCTTCCGGCGACGCGGTTTGCTACGACGAGGCTTCCTCCGCTCCGTTCAGCCGGTTGAGATAACAGCGCTTCGTGGGGTGTTGTTTTCCGGATGCGTGTTTTCGGCTGACGCGCAGGGATATTTAGGGGTCCCCGAAGGAGGCTGGGACAGCTTTCGCCGGCGCGGTGGTGACGGGACCGCGCGCCTCGTGGGATTTCGGCTCGGCGGCGCCCAGGTGAGAAAGGGAGGAAACGGGCCGCCGTGTCCAAGAGGAGGCGAGGGAGGCAGGAGCATTTGGGACGCCGGGTGGGGAGGAAGGCATGAGGGAACAAGCGGGCTCCTCCTGCCCCTTTTGCCCAGGACGTGCTCCTGTTCCATCCAGGTTTCTGCTCTGGGGCTGAATACACTTTTGCCATTCTCTGAAAATGCGTGGGCCAGTGGCTTGTGGTAACATAATCTGGTGTCCGCCATCCGCATTGGATTACAACTCCCATCACCCTGAGCCATCAACTCCAGCCCTGATGGAATTACGTTTCAAACGTATCTGAATTGGGGGGAGGGGAGGGGGGAGTCTGCTCCATTTAGTGTATGTGGCTTCTTGTTGTCTGGATAATCAATCCCCGGTGAAGATGTAGGGATTTTTGTTTCGGTTTTATGGTTTTCTAGATCCGTACGACATATTTGCCGAGCGATCAAAAAGCTTGTTTGGGGAGAATGTCTTAGATCTCTCGGTTTGTCCGTAACTGAATATGAAATTCTTTAAAAGAGAGTTTATTAGGATAGCGCTTTAAAAAGCTATATGAACAATTCTTATATGAGAACCAAAGATAAAGGAGAAGTGCGCATTGGATTTCTCATGCAATTGTTTTGGCCAAGTTTTTTTCGCCCCTTGCTTAAATAGAGGTTCACTTTCTAAACAATATTTGGATGATTTCTCATTAAATGTCTGAATTATGACCCAGAAAGGCAACTACAATGTGTTGGGTTTTTTTTTTCTCCAGTGTTCTGTTTAAGAATTTAAAAAGTGAATGTAGATTGGAGGTGAAAAAAATGTTGAAGTAGTTCACAGTTCTAATAAATATTAGATCTAATCTAATAAATATTGTTAAGTTCTAATTAGGGGGCTTTTGAAAAATTTTATATTAGTAGTTTGCTCGCCATATGTTCCCTTTCCCAAAAGTGTCATATGTAGACATGACAGGGCATGAAGTCCATTTTAGAGGTTTGTTTTTGTGTTTGTTTGTGTGTTAAGGAGGCTGAACTGTTGAATTTCTTAAGATACGACTTTAGTGCATATCTCTCAAGCCTATAATAGGTGTGTAGGCGGTTGCAAAGCAATGTTGCATATTCACACATATTGTGTAATTATTGATTAAGCCTTAAAATGTAGCAAGTTGAAGTGTTCTTTGGAAAGTATTAAAGTATTGAATTATCAGTAAAATTACTGAATTTCCAGTATTTAAATTCCTTTTGATCTGTGATATAATCTGATAGGGTTTCTCAAATAAACACAATTTGAGTTTAAATACCTGTTTATGCTAATGAGGAAGTTAACCTGAAATTATAGTACAAGCATTTGTTAATTAATACTTATTCAGGGTGAGATCACTTATGCATAACTGAATTTTATGTTGTTTACTTGCAAGTTTGACTACTTAGTATAAGACAAGCTGCTGTGGGCTGCCAGATCTGGGCTGTGACAAATCTGAGAAACTCTTTACTGCCATCTGGTGGCCATCCAGAGATTTTCAGTCCAGATATGGCAACCCTAATTTCATGGCAGCTAAAATGGTAAGCACAGGGCTCTTGGGATTCTTTGCAATAAATAATTTCCAACTGATATTTGATTCATTTTCTTTTCCCATGCTTTTTTCTTTTTGTTGGTTTGCTTTTCAGGGTCTGCCCTCTTTTTTAGTCTTAAGGTATCACATAATTCTTTATTGCATCCTTAATGGATTAAAATAGGTCTTCTGGGCATAATGGAGAATGTTTAATAGGAGATGATTCTGTATAATCCTGTTTTTGTGTATGTGTCAAACATGATCCATACTTGGAAATCTTATTTATGCTCTGTAGCTTACTAGTAGGCATTACCAAACTACAATAACTGAAAGCTTGTTGTATAGTTAGATGTTCATGCATTTGAAGATGTCCAAGCTATTGTTAGGAAATCATGTACCATCTTTTTGAGATTCATTAAGCTATTCAGGTAAATACATGTGTGTGTGTCTCTAAAATAATGCTGGGGGTTATTGTGATGGTGACAGGGCCAGATAATTATATAACCAACAGACATTTGTATTCTGTGTTATTGTACAAAAGATACAGTCAACACTGAATATACCAGTTTTTGAATAGGTTCAGATCATATTGTAGTTATATGACTGCTGAAGTTCAAAATGTTAAATGGTTGAGGCCAAACATTTAAAAGGGGGAGGAGGAGGAACAAGAACAGTATTATAAATATTTATAAATTTATAGAAAAAATATGGCAGTTGTATTTTTACTAGGATGAGATATTCCTACCTGAAAAAGTTGCATTTTAATCCAATATAATGGTTTTTTTAATATTCCATATAATTAGAGCTTCTTTTAGATTTCAGCAAGGTAATCTTCATGTTAAATATTATTTTGATTGTTTCTAGTCATTTAAATATGTATGTATAAACAATAGTAATAACAGCAAACCAGCTTAGCTTTCATTGTCAAAATATTTTGACTAGTCTCATTCTTCTCTACAGCAACTTTTCCATTCTTTTTATATAATGGGTGTGGTGTTATGAAGAACTACAAATTAAATTAAAATTTATGGGATACTGATGGGAAGTAATAAAATCAAAGTGATACTGCCCAAATCTGATACCAAAGGGTTAACCTAAAACAGCAAAGCATTGTGATAAAACATGTGTCCATTGTGTCAAACTGAACAACCCCCAACCCCCCAATGATTTATGACCTTTTCATTCAGTATATTCTTATACTGAATATAGGTACTCAGATTTTACCTTAATTCCATCAACTATAGTTTTAAGAGATTTAATTTTTTAAATATCAACATGTTTCATTTGGCAATATTAAATACAGTATACTATAATTTCCTTTTATTGTACTGGTGGCGGGGTTCTGATTGTGAAGATATTATCCTTTCAAGGATCTATAACAGTACAGGTAGTTCTTGATTTACAACCACAATTTAACCCAACATTTCTGTTGCAAAGTAAGACAGCTGTTAACTGCGTTTTGCTCCATTTTACAACATTTCTTGACCCAGCAGTTAAGTTAGTAACACAGTTGTTAAGTGAATCTGGCTTCTCCATTGACCGTTTGTCAAAGGGTCATAAAATGTGATCATAGGACCCTGGGAAACTGCAGCTGTCATAAATACAGGCTAGATGCCAGTTATCCAAATTTTGGTCACATGACCATGGGGATGCTGCAACAGTTATAAGTGTGAAAACTGGTTATAAGTCACCTTTTTTAATGCCATTGTAACTTTGAATGGTCACTAGATGAATTGTTGTAAGTCAAGGACTACCTGTATCAAAAAAATTGGATTCACATCTTGGTGCCAGGCATGAGTATCCTAAAGCATGGGTCCCCAACCCTCAGGTGGTGGACCGGTACTGGTCCATGGCTCATTGGGAACTGGGTCATGCAAGTGGTGAATGCACATGTGCACAAAATCATCCCCTCTTTCCCCTCCCCAGCCACCATTGCTGGTCTGTGAAGCCAAAAGGGTTGGCGTCCACTGTCCTATGAAGTTTGTCTAGGGATGGTGAGAAGGAGGGGGGAAAAACCTCAAACCTTTGACCTACATTTGTTTAAGATTTTTCCTACTGTATTAAAATAATTTTCATTGTAAATTAAAACAGCCAAGCCTTATGCATTAATCTTGAAGAGAATTCTTTTCACTTTCAAAAGTAATTCCACAATGTGCTGTATGAAAATGATTTGTCTTGTTCATCCTTTATTTTAAAGATTGTTTACATTTAATGGTAGTTTGACTACACATGTGTATTGTATATAAGAAAATTGGCTTCCTCACCTCAAAATGAAAGAATTCTCATATCGGTATATCTTTGTGAGCTGCAATAGATGCACTATTTGGATATAACCACGAGTTATTATTTTTATTTAATTTATAAACCAATAGTTTTGTATTTTGTTTCTTCTTTCAGATGAATGAATTTGGAATTAAAAACATGGATCAAGTAGCACCTGTTTGCAATGTATATAGAGAATTGTTCAAGGTAAGCTATGAAGGAAAAACAGATATGCATTGTAAAACCCAGCTTAAACCTTGGGCGAAGCATATCAATAATATGATTAATTATATTGAAAGCCCTTCTGTCAGTATTGCCTCAAATTCAAAATTCTTCAAAGAATGTTTTACAGAATATGTTCTAGAAAGTAGTTATTCGTTTGTTGGCTTAATAGTAAGTGTGGGGCTATTTATTCACTTTTGATTTTTGATAAATTCTTATTAATCTGGGCTATGTAACTTATTGACAGATCTAGTTGTAAAACATCTTGTGGGCCTAATGAGTGACTTCCATTGGCCTTGAGCGGGGCAGGCCCATCACCATGGGGCTTTTCTCAGTACTTTTAAGATGTGGCAATTTACCATTAATCCATAGCAGCTTTGACATAGGACATAATATTTTATTAGAGCTGGTTGGATCTAATCTATAGAAGATTTAAACTGTTTAATTTTCATGTTTTAAATATGCAGAATACTTTTGAAGTACAGTATCCCTTTTGATCTTACAGAGTGTTACATTTTCTCCAGTGACTCACTGTAAGGGATCATTTATTTACACAAAACACAGGAGTTTCCAGATTATGTTGAAAGTGTTTGGCCTTTCCTCTAAATATTAGTGATGACTCAGATCTTTTTATCTATTAACACTGAAAGAATTTGTCATTACTATGCCAGCTATCTAGCTTTCTAATCATTTCATTTATACAGCAAATTGCTTAAGTTCTTGATGTTGAACTTTGTAATTGTAAAATCCATAAGAATAGTTTCATTATTCTAGACTGAAACACTTTGACTAAATTTTACATAGTTCCTTGGGTCACTCATTTAAACTGTATACAAATTCTATAATAACTCATTAGAAATTTATGCTGCATTAATATTAAAATGCCTGGCGGTACTGCTGCCCCATTACTTTGATAAGTGATTTATAAAATAATATAGATTAATACAACAACATAATCACAATGAGATATAAATTACATTTTGATATGCAAACTGAGGTGCTTTAGGCATACATTGCTCCATTGCTCTTAAAATCTTTGTATGCTGTTTGTTGATATTATGGAAAGAAAGTTATTTTTTAGAAATGACTCAATAGCATAGAATGCAAGTATACAAATTCTTCCTCAGTGACTTAAGAGTTACATTAACATTTTAGAACATGTATCCAAGAGATTTTCAGTTGTGAGTTGAGATTATAACAGTTTTATTTATTATTTGATTTGAATTGATTTGATTTCTATAGCCATCTATCTCAATATGTAATTCTGAGTAGCATGCATCATAAAACATAATAATTTATAACAATTATAATACTACAAAATAAATATATATGGCATCAAGTAAAACTTGAAATGGGGCTCTTAACACACTCGGGAGCCTAGGCACACAACCAAGTCTAGACAGCCTTGTGAGTGGTCGATAGGGTTGGGGTCATCCTGACCTCTGAAGAGAGACTATTTTAGAGGATAGGTGCTAAGACAGAGAGGGCACGTCTTGCAGTTCCCACATGCTGACATTCCTTAGCTGATGGGATCTGCAACATTCTTAAACTGCCTGTTCAAACTGGACAGGTAGAAATGACTGGGAGAAGATGTTCCCTAAAATAACCTGGCCTCAAGCCATGAAGGACTTTAAAAGTGATAACCAGCACATTGATTTGCACCAGAAACATACTGGTAACCAGTGCAGTTCAGGAAGATCGATGTTAAATGTGTCAAATATCCAACATGCAGCCTTTACTAACCATGCAGCCACATTCTGCAGACGATTGAAACTTCCAAATACTCTTCAAAGCAGGGTGGATTTGATTTAAATCGAGTTGATTTAAATCACGATTTAAATCATGATTTAAATCACTAGTAAAAAGGCTTGATTTAAATCAACTCGATTTAAATCATAATTTTTAAAGAGCAACTGTCATTTCTGCTACTCCTTTGACCCACTGTTGACTCACCGATAGTCCCAGTGTTGCAGAATATACAGTCTCATGCTACATAACTAAGCTCCATTTCATGCTGAATAAACTAAATTATTTATGTATCTTAAATAGAAAACTATCTTACGATAGATTTTTACCCCAAAAGTTTTTTATTAAAATAAATTCGATAAAAATGAAAAAAATCCGATTTAAATCAAAAAAATCCGATTTAAATCAAAAAAATCTGATTTTTTGATTTTTTAAAAAAAATCATTGATTTTTATACATCCTGCTTCAAAGGCAACCGTATATAGAATTAATTGTAGTAATCCATGAGAGAGATCACAAGGGCATGAGTGACTGTTAACAAAGCCACCTGATCCAGAAAGAGCTACACAGCACCGAAGGCACGTCTGGCCATTGCTGCCACCTGCTTTTCTAGCAGGAGCCATGAGTCCAAGAGGACCCCCGTATTGCATACCAGGTCATCTTATTTATTTATTTATTTTTAATTTGATTTATATGCCGCCCTTCTCCGGAGACTCAGGGCGGTTTACAATGTGTTAAGCAATAGCCTTCATACTTTTGTATATTTATACAAAGTCAGCTTATTGCCCCCACAACTGGGTCCTCAATTTACCTACCTTAGAAAGGATGGAAGGCTGAGTCAACCTTGAGCCTGGGTATTGCCCCAAATTAGAAGGCCACATTTGCTTTGTCATAATATATTAAATTTGCTGTGGATGTAATAAGATACTCACTTTGATGTTTTCTATGTTTCAGCGCCAACTTGCATTTGATAGCTTTGAAGGTGCTTTGTTCACTGGATTCTATCCACCAATAAATGAAGATCAGACTCTTCAGGAAGTGCCAACCGGCCTTGATTCTATTTCTTTCGGTAAAGCCTGTTTTTATAAGCAGTTTTGCCATGCTAATTAAAGGAATTCCAAGTCATTTACACAAGAAATTAGGGAGGAATCAATCTCCAGATTATCAAAAATCATTGCAAAAGTTCATATTTTAGAAATGTTTATATAGAAAATAATTTGATTGTGCACAATTTTTTGTAATCATTATGTAGCCTTAGTAGTGGTAAGAAATAAACAAGGAAGTATTACTGAATCTAGCTAGGATTTCCAATATTTTCCATTATTGAAATATCCAGTATCCAATATTTTCCAGTTTATTCAAATAAACTGACTGGATTTATTAGATGTTAGACATTCATACAACATTACACAAAACAAAACAAAACACTCCTTTTTCTACAGATTATTTTCTTTTTGTTCTTGTTATGTTCAACGTTATAATTCCTTTGCTTTTCAGAATCAAGCTCTTCTGAACTGCCACTCTTAACTCCATGTAGTAAAGCTGTGATGAGTCAGGCCTTAAATGCAACTTTCAGTGGCTTCACAAAAGAACAGCACAGATTAGGCATTCCAAACAGTAAGTGGGCTTTTTTTTTCTTCCTTTCTAATATGGATTAGGCTAAACGATTGTTGTATCATTTTTCTTCTAATATAATAAAATATTTACCATACAATTTACTTATACTAAACTATTACTTACAAATATATTCATCACAATAATGCTAACGTTCATATGAATTTGCTTAAGATTGTATCCTATATATCTACAGTTGTAAACTGAGTTAAATATTAAGAGTTTTAACTCAAAAAATGTGTGGATTCAGGTGGTAGTAAAAGGGATAGTAGCTATTATATTTTAGTGTATGCTACTACAACTTCCCTTGGGGAATTTTTTTTTGATAAAGTAATTCGTTTTCTTCCTTTCTGCAGATCCCTGGCTTTGGACACAACATCATGTATGTCAGTGGCTTCTCTGGGCTGCCAATGAATTTAGTTTAGTGAATGTGAACTTTGAGAAATTTGCTATGAATGGCCAAGATTTATGCAATCTAGGAAAGGAACATTTTTTGGAACTAGCACCTGATTATGTTGGTGACATACTGTGGGAACATTTGGATCAGATGATAAAAGGTGAATGAGCTAAATCAAAGTGATAAAGTGATATGCAGAATACGCAAACCAGTTGTGGCAATATTGAGAAAACACTTGTAAAACTTCAAAGTGAATTCTAATTTGCCATTTATTTATCATCTAAAGGAACTAGAGTGTTTGCTTCCTATACTATTTGAGATTATCTTAATATGGGAGTTCTTGTCTGCTTTGATTAAGCTGAAGACATAGATTAGAACTGGTTTAAGATGGATTCATATACTGTGTTAAGCCAAAACCAAAAATATGTGGTCTTAGCTACAAACATACTTGGAAGCAGATGGAGCCAATCCAATAAAAAACAGCCTTAGCCAGGGAAACACACATTGTGACTTTGGACCAGTCAACATTTCTTAATTAAATATAAAGATTGCCATTGTTGTGACATCTTAAAGGAAAGGAGAGATTGCTTTACGCTATTGAAAGAAAGGATAATCAGAGTAATACTGAAAATGTAAAAAATACATGTGTCTCATTGACTTAACCCTAATTTATATATTTATATGTGACTCTGTACGGTTTACAATAAAATAGATAAAATACATAATATAAAATTATATGTTTTACTTTTTGAGGTATAAATTGGATTTAACTGTGATCAGTTAAAGCATTTTAAGTAATAATTTAATCACATTAAATTATTTTCAAAATGGCAGGTAATTTTGCCATAAAATATAGTTTGGTGAAAATGCTATCACTCATATATGACACATTGTCAAAGCAATTTCTCCTATTTAGGTATATATTTAAACATCTTTGTTTGTTTTCAGACAATGAAGAGAAGCCACAAGATCAATACATGGAAAATTCTCACCTTACTTCATCTCCACATTGGGTCAACAACAACTCTCTAGGTAAATTTAATTTCAATAATCATAGTATCAAAATTTGAGGGCGCAGTTTCCGCTTATTGTGAATAAAGCTTCTTGTTCAGTATCTCTACTGAACAGCAGCAACAACAACTGATCTTAGACTAGTGCATTTAAACTACAAAAAGTAGTTTCTGGTTTTTTGTTTTGTTTTGTTTTGTTTTTGCTGGGGGCATGTTAGTGAAAGAAGGAAATGGACATAGAGAAAAACATGGATAAAGTTCAAAATACCAAAATAAGTGCATAGTTTGGTGCTAGAAACTTGCAAAACTGGAACTTTGAAGAAATGGCTTATGTTTCAAACCAGAAGCTGATATTTGAAATGCAAAATATCTTATGTGATGTTAGTGGCCAGATATTGACAAACACTCCATACAGTACAAAATATAGTGTTTGAGTTGGATCAATGATATCGATTGTCTTTAAGAATAAGCTATTCATGTCTTTGTGAATATTAAATAAATACAATATATTAAATAATTATGGTATATTGTTTTTTTTGCTAAAATTTTAGAATCACTAAAATCACTTAACACTACATTAACTCACTTAAGTTGAAGTACTAGCTGCTATAAATGCTTTAAAGTATATAAAAGCAATTGTAGACATGGAAGTGCATTACCATAGTTATACTGGCAGGAGACAGATTTATATTATCTTTGTATTTCAACTGTTTCCCTCTTTCAAAAAAATACAAAGATTAAGCTTTGTTTAATTTAGAATATGGATAATGGTGGCATTTATTCAGAGACTGTCACTATATTTTATTCAGGAAAGTCCTCAAAGTTGTTTAATTGGACGGTAGGTACTATTGTAGAAGTTAAAGGATTTCTAACCACAGTGTTGTGGATTGTGTTTTTTTTAGGCATTAATGTTGAACAAGTGCAGTATTGTACTCAAGTACCCAGCTATCCAAAATCTCTAAGTTTCCAAAAAGCCAGAGTTCTGGGAGATGTATGTCAGACGACAATTGGGCCAAATCTTGTTAATCTAAAACAAGAATTTCAGATGTTTCCGAAAGCACAATTAGAGACTATCAATGTGAACTACTGTTCAATGAATCAGGATTTCACAAGAAATAATCTCAACTTGGTGTTGGATAATACAAGTAAGATGTCTATTTCCCTGTGTTTATGAGCTGTTATATATTCAAATATGAGGTTGCTTATTTTTGTTTTAATAGCCCACTTCTTTGTTTATGACTTAATCATAAAAGTGATTTTATAGAGTTAGTCTTGACTTTAAATTGATAATTTTACTGATTACATTTAGACAAAGCTACAGTAACCTGGATGGGGCTTAAACATCTCTGAAGTATGATACATTTTATCTTACCTATTCAAATTAGCATAATCAAATATATTTGTAAAGTTAAAGTACAATGAAATTTGGGGGTTGTATTCTGTAATTGCATTCATAGTTCAATTATTTATATGTTAAATAAGTACAATATTTTGAAATCCAACTTAAGGTATAATAATCTCTATTCATGAAATTTTCTCCTTTTGTCCAGGTAAACCTAGAGAGCATGATTCAAATGACAGTGGCACAGAAAGTTACGAAGGCTCAGATTCATTGCTACAGTCTTGGAATAGTCAGTCCTCCTTAGTAGATGTTCAACGGGTTCCATCTTATGACAGCTTTGAAGATGATTGCAGCCAGTCCTTGTGTCTGAACAAACCCACAATGTCCTTTAAAGACTATATTCAAGAAAGGAGTGACCCTGTAGAGCAAGGGAAACCAGTTATTCCGGCAGCAATACTAGCAGGATTTACAGGCAAGTAAAATATTTCCCTGTCCCCTTTTTTGTCTTTAGGCCTCCTTGTTTCATTGATGGTAAAGAAATTCAAAGGAAAATTGTATACACAATTTATATCAAAATTGTGATTATTTTGATATAAAGACCATAATTTCATAACATTGCTTTGTCCTGTAATCTTTTCAGATAAATTTGATTCAGTTGAATTTGAATGTGCTGTAAAATCTAACAGCATTTTAAGAGGAAAAAAAAAAGACTAATTCAGACAACTCTTCTGGATTTTCACTATCATTTACCATCTTTTTCTAATACAGATTCTGGTGTCTGGTTGATCTTTTAATCAAGAAGATTTTTAAAAGAATGACATAACTAATATTTAAATCTTGAAAACCAACTAACATTCTTATGAATTCTTGTGTCTTTCTCTGTATATACTTTAACAATTCATTTTGATATTCATAGGTAGTGGACCCATACAGCTGTGGCAATTTCTTCTAGAACTTCTGACTGACAAATCTTGTCAGGCATTCATTAGCTGGACTGGAGATGGCTGGGAGTTTAAACTTGCAGACCCAGATGAGGTTAGTAATTCAATTCATCCATTATTAAAAAATAAATGGAAGTTTATAGCAGCTAGCAAGGCATAGCTATATTAGTTATCAAACTAGGATTGGAAAATTGAATTTTCAATCTATTCTTGGCCATGGTAATTCACTGTGGGATTTCAGGGCAGTCTCTATATTTCTAGATAGAGATCTAACTTTCTCAGTCTCAGTCCATCTTACCTTATAGATTTGTTTTTCTGATCAAATGAATGAAGATCTTTAATTAAGCCACTTTGAAGCTCCCAAAGAAAAGGCAGGGTGTAAACTAACAAATTACACAGAGCACCAGGAAGAAAAGGGCCACTTCAAACATCTCATTCAGAAGCGATGATCTGTGATTATAGCTTCAGTTTCATATATTAATATAGACTTATACAGGCAAGCCTCTGATTAATTATGTTGTATACAGTACAGTTTACAAGTGTTCTAAACTATGATCTTTTGTTTAATGGCCATTCAAAGTTAGGAAAGCACTGCAAAAGTTAGTTGCAACCAGTACCCACACTTGCGACCATTGCAATCAAATAAATGAAAATTTGGGGATTTGACAATCGGCATGTATTTATGATGGCTGCAGTGTCCCACAGTCACATGATTGCCATTTGCAACCTTCCCAGGAAGCTTCTGATGAGCAAAGTCAATGGGGGAAGCTGGTTGCATAATCACCATGTGATTCACTTAACTGCAGTTATTCAATTAACAGCAAAAAAAATAATAATCATAAAATCAGGTGTGACTCAGTTAATGACTGCATCTCTTAAATGTTGGAAGTTCTGGTCCAATTGTGGCAGTAAGTCAAAGACTATCTGTATGCCCTTAGCTAATTTAAATGCAAACCTTCAAATTATGGAACTTCATGATCATTTTGAAGATGTACTAAATTAGAAAACAGCATGGAAATTGTGCTCTTTATTGTGCTCTTTAAAGCTCCAGTAACATTAAGTAGTTGCTCAGTAGCTAAATTTTTATTGCTACTGAGTAAAGTAGAGTTTAATACAATTTCACTGGAATCTAAATTAACTGCATTAAATTGTTTTCTTTCTTTTTATCTCAGGTTGCAAGAAGATGGGGCAGAAGAAAAAACAAGCCCAAAATGAACTATGAGAAGTTGAGCCGTGGCCTACGTTACTATTATGATAAGAACATTATTCACAAAACTTCAGGCAAACGTTATGTGTACCGTTTTGTATGTGATCTACAAAATCTGTTGGGATATACAGCAGAAGAACTCCATGCAATGCTAGGAGTGCAGCCAGATACTGAAGACTGAGCACTGCAGTCTTGTGAGCTTTGGATGCAAGAACACATGAATCTGTGAATTGGGACCTTCCGCATCAGTCATTGGATTTATCTTCTGACTGTTTGGAGTAGTACACTGTTGAACTCCTAAAAGAAGTGTTTTCATAATTGGGCGAAGAAGTGGATTCAGTTTCAGGCAGAAAAAGAACTTATGTATCCAGCCTTTTCAGCAGTCCTTCCAAAAGTCAACCCAGTTCCTGACTAAACCTGAAGACAGCAAAATGCTCTGGGGCTCAGGGTTCAGTTATGTCAACTTCTATATAAGTAAGGGTGACATCCAGACTAAGCCTATTGGAATTTCAAGGATTAAACCCGTTCCCATTTTACTGTTAACAACCCTGCAGACATTACATATCATTTGTTTTATTGAGGAAGAAAAGGCTAGGTATCTTTTATTTAATATATGTGCCATATAAATTTACAAAGGGCATTCTTTTAGAGTTGTGTATGTTTCATCATACACATCTTGGAACTAGAAGGAGCAATGGCAGAGATTCCATACAAGGACAGAAAAAAATATACCATTTCAAAAAAATCTGTATATTTATGTGTGGTGTGTACGCTTAAGCATGTTCATATGTTTCTCTGGCAGTGAAAAGCTCCTATTTAATAAATATTGTATATTGTAATTTAAAATCATGTAAACATCTGAAGTGGAAGAATGTGTTTCAATTCAAAAGAGCAGCTTTTACAGCATCTTGGAAGATTTTAATTTTTCAAGGGAATTTATATAAAATAAGCACATGCCAAGTGCCCTGTCACAGAAGACTGTTTAAGGCTGACAAACACCTGAACTTTTATGGCAAGATAATTGTTCAGTCTGGTCATAAAGTGTGATGCTGTAACTGAAAATAGCAATGTCGCTTAAATTATATTTATTAATGGAAAATCACTTCTATGCATGTCCTTTTAAAAACAATTGATATATATATATATATATTTCTTATTCTTTCAATTGTCCCTTTTCCATCCCTTTCGTTCACTTATAATGAATTATCCTGATTAAAATAAGAATTCTATTTTTGAAAAAAAATACCTGATTTCTTTTCTGCAATTAGAAAACAGATATATAGCAGCTATTTTTACTGCAAAAGCAAACAGCTTCACTGGAAAACAATTTGTAAGAAAACATTTTTAATTTGAAAATGCTGTAAACTTACAAAATGAAGTTTAAAAAACATTGACTTTTATTAAAACACCTTGAACAAGGGCCAGTAATTATGTAGTTATTTGTATTTCAAAGTTGTCACTTAACTTCATCTTAAACAATTCATTGATAAATCTCTAAACAAGACAAACTATATTTGCCTGATAATTCCAGTATAAATACAATCCCAGATGTATTTGCCTGTACAATGATTTCTGAGGGCTGTAGAAATTCAGCTGCATATGTTCCATCTGGACAGCATTGTTCTGTGGAAAAGATAGATATATATGTGCATGTACATACTTGGTTAGCTCTTAAATGAATAGATGCTGATTTTAGCAAGGGACATTATAAAAGCGAGTAACTGAAAACGTTGGTAAATCCATAACTTCATTTTCATTCAATGTACTTTTAAACTGGAGAACTAAATCAGAGGTTAAGTTCTTGTTTCCAGGATAGCTTTGATTTGTTCTTTAAAAGCAATGATTCTAAGCCACATGAACATTTTTCTAGGTTGTATAAACATTGCCCAAGAAAAGAGTACTTGCTGGTAAAATACACTTCAAAATACAACTGAGGAAAATTTGGGAAGTTTTCTATGCATGCTTTCTAATGGCAGATGCATATCTTGTGTTTCATTTTACCAGCCTTCATCTTTTTACGCCTTTAAGACTAGAAATATAATACCGGTTCGCTCGCACAGAGAGGGCCTCCTCAGGGTGCTGTCGGCCAGACAGTGTCGGCTGGCGACCCCCAGGGGGAGAGCCTTCTCTGTGGTAGCACCCGCCCTCTGGAATGACCTACCCCCTGAGATACGCATGATATCAGACCTCCGGACTTTTCGTCGGGCCCTGAAAACACACCTATTCCATCTAGCCGGGCTGGCTTGATCCCATTCTCTCAGTTTTAATTGGGTTGTTTTTAATATCTTGGGCCGAAATTATTTAATTGTTTTTTAAATTGTTTTTAAATTTTATATGCAATGTTTTATCTTGGCTGTACACCGCCCTGAGTCCCGCAGGAGAAGGGCGGTATAGAAATAAAATAAAATAAATAAATAAAAATAAATAAATTTAATATAATTATATAATAGTATAATATATCATTTTATTAGCAAGACCTTGTTGCCTTTTATATGCCATCCAATTAACATCTAGGCTTTTCTGCATGAGGCTTCATTTTTCCATGAACATATTTTTTAAATAGTGACTATTTTTTTATTCATATGCCAAGGCATGTGATAGGTAAAAAAAACTGGTAGAAACTTGTAAATCAACATTTGGATTTTTCTTATAGTTCATGTCTTGCTAGATACTAAACATGGAAAATGCAATATAACACCTGCAAAAAACAGTTTTTTTTAAAGCTATTTCAGTTATTGATAGGAAGGGGGAATTTAATTCAATCATTTTATTTCATAGTTTCTACTTTTGCAAATTTTAATTTCTGTATAATGCAAAGGACTTGAAATAACATACAGATTACAGTTCACATCATATGGTTACATTAGCAGATAAAAGCATGCTGGCTGATCCTAATGCCAGTTGTTTTATTGTGCAAGATGTTTTTTAAAGGAAGTAACCTTTCCAATGAGCAAAATACGATATATATCAATTCACTACATCCTTTCCCAGTGTCTTTTATATTGGTTATAATACTGTGCTTAGATTGAAGTATATACTTAATATAATTACCTTAAATGCAACCAGTTTAGTTCAGTAATCAATGGAGATAGAAAAATATCCACAATTTTGTCATTCCCTGAGCAAACTGACATTCTAGTAGCTATATAAATGCAGGAGAAGGTAACATCAATGACCTAGATGCTATGATGTACTTCAACTGTCTGCCAGTATCTTTTACCTAATGGCAATATTGGGAAGTGGGCTGCTAGCCACGTGAAGACCAATAAGTTTATCATTCCTGGTAATGAAAATATGAGAAGAAAAAATACCGGAGATGAGAAAGATAATTGTTTCTTTCTGCCATGCTTTGAAGCTTTGAAAAACAAGCTGTTTTGTCCTTTTCTTTTGAGGGCTATACTGTGCTTAGTAAATATGGATCAACTAACTATTAAGAATTGCGCATTTCCAATTATGTCATAGGCAGAGTCCATAGGTTAGGTTCCCATAACAACCAAGCACACATCTATTCTAACAAGAATTGGGGAAGACATTGTTAGCTGACACTGAAAAAACAATTTGTTACTATTGGCGAAACTGGCTAAAAATAAATCTGGGAACTGAAATCTAAAGTAACTGTTAGCTCATCTTACACACTATGGGAACATGCAGCCTTCCAAAATTATGAAATATGTTCTTAATTGAACACACTGAAATGAATGTGGTAATGTTGTGGTAAATTTTGGTGTTTTAACATTGCTGTGTAGCTATTGAATAGTACAGAATGCAAAGTTCGTGACTCATTTACAGTAAAAGCAGAAGAGATGTTACATCATAGCAGTAAAAAAAAAAAAGTCCAGGCTACTACAATAGGCTTCCAAAACGTAATCAGCTATTTTGGCTTTTAACTGTCTGCTCAGCACTGCAATGAAACTCTGATAGGGCAGAAGAGATGCATTTTATTTTTCTGCATCAACTATTTATCAACTAATTTATTAATTGATAATAAATTAATTTAGACTGCTACACTTTGGGGCAACAACATAAAACCAGAGATCTGTTGGTACTCAGAAGTTAACTCCGTGAATGGCTTTTTTAAAATAGCTACACTTGGCACTAGATTATGAGAAAAATATGCTGTGTGAACATGTGAGGAATGTCTTTTGCAAATAGCCACTCATAGGATTTAAAAGTATAGGATTTTTCTTCATTGACAGTGTTCAAAGGAAACTTGCTTGCTTACTCATTTATTTATTAATGTATGCACTTAGGGACCATCGAATTCCATAAGAATCTGGAGTTATAACAGAAAACAATAAATCAGTAAAAACAATCATTCACATTTGATAGCCTCCACTTACTTCTCATTTCTGTGTAGCATTGAATAATATGTGGTAGATTAGAGCTTGATACAATTAGGCAAATAGACTTTCTCCAACTCTTGCCTAAAGAAAAACAACCAATTTCATCCTCCTTCTATCCTGACTTCGAAGAGCATAAAATATGCTTATGATGGCTTTTGTTATACAGAAAAGCAGAGGGGCTTTTAAAGTTAGTGTTGGAAAACAGGCTTTAAACTTTATATATCTTTAAGTAGGCTCAAGACGAATCTTAATTTTTGGACTATCACCCATACACACATGGACACACATGTTTATTGCTATTATTGTCATTTGTGTGCAGACTCACTCATTTTAATAGTCTTTCTAGCTAACAGCTTACAACCAAATAAATGTGCAGAAACTCATTAATTGCAATTGTTCAAACTTTTATCTCTAGAAATCACACTTTTGCTGAAAAATCACATTTCCCCAGCATTCCTGACCAATTTTACTATGATGGGAAAGTGTAATTTTGTCCAATGTCTCTTGGGGACATTGTGGCAGTGGCACTTCCTGAAATGTGGCTATGGAAGAGACAAAAAGGGGAAGGAGATGTTGGAAATCCCCACTGTGATTAGCTTTGCACTTTTTCCACTTGGCAACAGTACATTTCTGGATTGATTGATTGATTGATTATTTATTTATTCATTTTTATGCTTGAGATGATACTTGTATTTTCTTGAACGTGAAAAATTAAGACTAAAGGAATTGGCAATGTTGTTTCATTAATCATAAGATATATTAAGAGGAATTATCTTAAAGTTTCTGTCTGGAGGTAGGATTCCATTTTGGAAAATGTGTTAAGACCAACCACACTAATTCCAATAAAACCCATAACTGCTGTACATGCTAATAATTTCTAGGCAATGAAGAATGAAGTGGGGGGGGGGCACAGGGTGTGGTAGACAGATATGAGGGTGGAAGCAGATAAACGATCAATGTTTAAATATTTAGATCAATTTGCAATGCACCTTCACAGCTCAGTTGAGTAAATGATGCACTATAACAAAAGCAACCTTTAGTGTGCCCTGTCACTCCTGGCATGATTTCTGCTGAGGCAAAATTGAAAGGTTGGCTTGTATTTTTTTAGTTCAAACTAGGATAACATCATAACTAGAGTGGGCTGTAGTCCTTTCATAAGATAGTTATTTCAAGCTAAAGTTATAAATGTATGGATTAAATAATAGCTATTGGGAATAGAGCACTTGAAACAAGCAACAAATCAGGCTTTTTCACTGCAAGAGTAATTATGGCAGAATGTGATCAGAAATATTAGACCTACACACACCATTAAATACAAAATGTGGAGTAGCAAGGACAGTTGAGGTGGTAGGCACTAACTTATGTGCAATTTATGCCTTGCTTCTTCTATGTAAGGTTCGGGTGAGGGTAAGGGTTAAGGTGAGCAATAAAATAAGAGTTGTATTTATTCTCTATACTGCACCCCTCTTCAAAACTTTGCTCTTCTGACTTCTGGTTTGCTCTCTGTCGCTGCCAGACGGTCCCTCAGGACCGCCAGCCCCGTCGCCTGTAAAGAGCCGCCTTTACAGCTGAAAGGTGGCTCGAAAAACTCCATTTCCATAAGGAAATGTGAGACAGAGCAGGTGAGGGCAGGTAGAGCTCTCTGCGAAGTCCCCAGAGTTTTTTTTTACTCTTGGGGACGAAGCAAATGAGGCTCCCTATTTCCCTCGCCGCTGCTCCAGGCTTCGGGAGACCTCTGCCTTTTTGCAGAGCCAGGCGACGAGAACAAGCCTTTTAATGAAACTTAACAGATTGTTTAAGCAAAGAGGATGAGATCTGGACCTGGGACCCTAAATCGCAAGTATTTTCATTGACTTTATAAATGATATTGAAGAAAGGAAAAAAGAAATTTAAAATGGCGACTGCTGAGGCTTGAGAAGGGAAAGCTGAAAGAGAAAGTCCTTCCGTTTGAATAGTTTAACAAGCCACAAAGTAGCAGAATAAATACTGCTGGTTACAACTGAGAAGAAAAATTTCTACTTTTATGTTTCTTTCTTCCTGGAGATCTGATATTGATTTTGTTTGGAAAGAAGTTTTCTTTTCTTAAAAAAGAGTTTGTCTGTGTGGCAGGATGGCGTTTAAACTAACAAAGCCAGACAAACAAGCAGCGGGGGGGGGATTCTCCCATTTACAAACTACGTGAACAAGTTTCAAACCTACAGACTCAGAAAAATGATTTTAACTTAAAAGAATTTGTCTTGGAGGAGATGGCAAGAAGGGATGAGATTGTGAACCAGAATC